CTGCTGGGATCCCACTGCTCCCACCATCCCTCTGCTCTTTGCTATGGCAGCCACTTCTTCCTCTGCTGGGATCCCACTGCTCCCACCATCACTCTGCTGTTGGCTATGGCAGCCACTTCTTCCACTTTTGGGACCCCACCACCCCCATCGTCCCTCTGCTCTGGGTATGAGAGGCCCCTCCCCCAGCAGCCTCTTCCACCTTTGCTGGGGTTCCACCTCCCCCTAGCTCTGGGCTATACAAGCCTTCTGCCCCCTGATGGACTCCCTATCTGGCCTCTCTGCTATTTGGTCTGCATTCTGGATCCCCAATCCAGTGCAGAGCCAGACTCCACTCCAGGATTTCCCTGTGACTCTCCCAGCTGGGCCCCTGCAGCAGTCAATGGGCAGATTGACGGGGAGTAACTAAATCCAGAACAGGAGCTACACACCTGTCTGGATTGGAGACTGTGCAGTGTATATTACCCTCTGGGAGGGGAATGGGATCTAGTGGGTTAGAGCGTGGGGGGGGGGGGGGACTGGGTGCCAGGATTCCTAGGTCCCATCCCTGGCTCTGGAAAGGAAGTGGGGTCTAGTGGTTAGAGCAGGGCAGGGCAGGACTCCTGGGTTCTTTCCCTGGCTCTGGGAGGGGAGTGGGATCTAGTGGGTTAGAGCCGGGGGAGCTGGGAACGAGGACTCCTGGGCTCCATCCCCAGCTTTGGAAAAGGAGTGGGGTGTAGTTGCTTAGAGCAGGGGGTCTGGAAGCTCAGTTAAATCCTCCCCAGGGGCCTATGCAGGGGCACTTACCTAGAGTGGGAGGCATCTCTGGAGCCCTGGCCTGCAGAGGGTGCCAATCGGGGTGTGGCCTCCAAATTATTTTCCTGTCGCCTCCTAGTGGCTGATCCAGGCACTGCCTCTTCTTGCCCCCTAGTGGCTAATTCCGGCACTGCCTCCTGTCGCCCCCTAGTGGCTGATCCCAGCACCCACCCCACTGAGTTCTCTGTCTCGGCTGGGAGCTTCCCAGGGGCTCCTCTTCGGCCAGGTCCCTTCTGCTACCTGAGTCCTAGGGGATGTGGCTGCTTTATAGGCAGGTCGGGCCCTGTCCCCCTCCCTTCTGCCAGGAGCGGGCGGGGAAGGCACCTGGGTTTTCTGGACTCTGTTTCCAGGAAGGGAGAGGGGAATGGGGAGGGTGTGCCATGGGGCAGGGAGTCGGGGGGGGCAGGTGTGTGGGTTGGGATTGCACAATGCTTCGTGCGAGGGAAGGAAGGAATGAAGGAATGGGAAAGTGAGCCTGTGTCTGGGGGGTGGCCACACCCCAGCCTGAAAGTCCCAAAGCCACATGTGGTTGGGAAGGGCGGGGAGCCAACCCTGCAGATTCTTCCTCCTTCTCGGTCCCGTCCCCGGTCGTGGCTTTCCATCCCCAGCCCCACTCCACCAATCCACCTCCTTCAGTCCGCCCATTCCCCCCCCCCCATCCCTATATGCCCCTCCCCCAGATCGCCCCAGGCCCCGCAGCCCCCTCGGCCAGCCATGAGCACGGGGCCCCTGGGGCAGATGCAAGTGGAGGGCTCGACCCACCCACAAGGGGGCACCGGAGGCCAGGACCCTGCCCTCAAGGAAGAAAAGTGGGATGAGAAGCGGTGAGAGTGGGGGGGGGAATGAGGAAGGGGGCAGGGAGGGGTCCCATTGTGACAGACATAATAGGTGCCAGGGCCGTGCCAGCCGACGGCGACTGGCATTTCTGCACGTCCTCGCCAGATCAGGTTTCCAGCCACAAAGCAACCTGGGGGACGGGAAAGAATCCAGCAGAGGAGAGGGGTGGGAGCCCGGACTCCTGGGTTCTATCCCTGGGTCTGGGAGGGGAATGGGGGCTAGTGGTTAGAGCGGGGGGGGGAGGGCTGGGAGCCAGGATTCCTGGGTTCTAGCCCAGGCTCTGGGGGGAGGGAGTGGGGTCTAGTGGGTTAGAGCAGGGGGCTGGGAGCCAGGACTCCTAGGTTCTATTCCTGGTTTTGGGAGTAGAATAGGGCCTAGTACAGGAGTGGGCAAACTTTACACCCCTGTGGCACCGTGGGTCCCGCGCTGCTCCCGGAAGTGGCCAGCACCATGTCCCTGCGGACCCTGCGGGGGAGGGAGGACAGAGTTCACTATGTGCTGCCCTCGCCTGCAGATGCCGCCCCCACAGCTCCCATTGGCCGAGAACAGGGAACCACGGCCAATGGGAGCTTTGGGGGAGGTACTCACAGGCGAGGCCCTCTGCACCTCCTTCCCCCCGTGGGCCACAGGGATGTGGTGCCGGTCACTACCACCCCAGAGCCGCTCCAGGTAAGTGCCGCCTGGCCGGAGCCTGCACCCCACACCCAACCCCCTGCCACACCCCAACAGGATTGAGAGACACTAGCAGAACAAATAAGAAACCCAAGAGTCAGCTTTATATATGAGATATTTTATTTCTAGCACCTGTTCTATTCTTCTCACACAGATGCAGACCTCCTGACCTGTAGCCCCCTCTTACTCCAGTGTTGGGGTCCTCGTCCTCGTCCTCATCTCCATCTCCATCCCATCCCATCCCACCCCTGCCCTGCCCTGCCCTGCCCTGCCCTGCCAGTGTCCCTCAACCTGCAGCTCCCTTGTTATCCCAGCCCTAGAGCCTCCCTCTGCCTGCCCCAGCTGCTGAAGCCCCTAACACAAACCCACAATTTTTTGCTCATGGTGAGGAGAGGAAATGAGTCACGTGTCTGCCTGTGACGGCTCAGGGGGGTAAATCCTTCACCACCCCAGGCCCAGCGGTTTCCTCTGACCGGTGGATGATTTCCAGTCAGCTTTGGCATGTGAGGACACTCCCAGGCCCAGGATCGAAAGCCCCAAGGCATCCTGGTCTTGCCCTCTTATTTGCATATTGGTCTCTTTCCAGTCTTCCCCATATGTTGTCACAGACCCTCCGCTGACATCAAATACAGAATTATTTCCTTCCCTCCGACACGGATGGGGAAGTTGTGGCAGCTGAAAGCAGGAGGGGCTGGGAGCCAGGACTCCTGGGTTCTAGCCCCAGCTCTGGGTGGGGAGTGGGGGCTAATGGGTCAGAGTGGGGGGGCTGGGAGTCAGGACTCCTGGGTTCCATCTCTGGCTCCAGTAGGGGAGTGGGGTCTAGTGGTTAGAACAGAGGGGGCGGGACTCAGGTTTGATCTCTGGCCGCGGAGTGGGGTCTAGCCGTCAGAGCTGGGAGTCAGGACTCCTAGGTTCCATGCCCAATACCAAACACCACACTCCGCCCAAGTTTTGCCCACAACTGCTACAATTTCTGGCAGGGTTGGAGAGTCGACAGAACGCGCATCACCTACAAACAGGCCAGTCGGGAGGGTTGAGACGGTCAGCGAGAGGAAAGAGAGACTCTCCCAGTGTCTAGCCGGAAATCATAATGTGTTTTATGATGGGATCTAATCAAACAATACAGCCCTGCTAACACCCGGCCACCTGGCTCCCTTCCTCTCTGCCTGGAATTTAGCACCTGCTAAGAGTCCCCTCACTTTCCCCGTCCCTTGCCCTTCGCCTTTATTTATTCTAGATAATTTCCTTTTTGTAAATCTGCCTTGATGGGGAATTGAAACACAACGAAGAGACCAAGATCTGGGAAGAGAATCTGCGGGGCAGGGGGAAGAATGGGACATGGGGTCTTTCCCCTCTTGGGGACGCTGGTTCCGATCTGCTCCCAGGGCAGGGGATTGGCTGACTCAGCGGGATGGGGAATGGGACACGGGGCCTTTCCCCTGTAGGGGACGCCAGCTCCTAGCCAGCCCTGGGTCAGGGAACTGGTGGTGGGGGGAGTGGAATGGGAGCCAAGGCCTTTGCCCTATGGGGGCGCATTTGGGCAGGGAAGCCGTCTGGTGGAACTGGTCTAACTGGAACAGGCCACGGTTTGTTCTTTCCAGGAATCCAGCCCCAGATGGCGGATGGAAGCAGGTGTCCGAGATGCCAGCTGGGCACCGGGTGGGAAAGCACCTGGTAGGCAGACTGGGAAGCCGTTAGTCTGCCTCTATCGCTTCCGTTTCCTCCTGACCCGACCCACCTGGGAGCCTGCTATCCAGCTTCTACTCTCCATTTCACTCAGTGAACTAACTACTTAGGGGGGTGGGAGCCAGGACACCGGGGCTCTCTACCCGGCTCTGCGGGGGGAGTGGGGTCTAGTGGGTTAGAGCAGGGGGCTGGGAGCCAGGACTCCTGGGTTCTCTCCCCAGCTCGGGGAGGGGAGTGGGGGCTGGTGGGTTAGAGCAGGGTACTGGGAGCCAGGACTCCTGGGTTCTCTCCCTGGCTCTGGTGGGTCTAATAGGTTAGAGCAGGGAATCTGGATGCCTGGGTTCTTTCTGTGCCTCTCTGTCCCTGCCCCAGTTTCCCCTGCTGTATTGATAAATTAGCCTGCCTCACAGACATGCCCTCAAACCAATCCCCTCCCAGCGCTGGGCTAGAAGGAGTCTTGGCTCCCAGCACCTCTCCAGCCATGGGAGGGGGGTCCATCATGAACCTTGCAGGGTATTAGCCTAGTGCCCCGGGGCTATGGGTGAGTCTGCACTGCCACCTCCTGGCCACATGGCACAATGACAACCCCATCGCACCCCTGACCCTCTGCTGGACTGGTCACCTTCAGGTCAAGGTAGAAATGCCTCTGGTTATAGCAGCTACCCAGGGTGGGGAATGGGGCACAGGGCCTTTCCCCTCTAGGGGGCGCTGGCTCCAATCCCACCCCAGGGCAGGGGACTGGCTGGCTCAAGGGGGTGGTGAATGGGGAAATGGGGCCTCTCCCCTCCAGGAGGCTCCAGCACTGATCTAGTTCCAGGTAGGTTCAGTCCCGGCTCATGACCCAACGAAGGAACATGGCTACCCGTCCCTGGATTGCGTATCAGCAACAGACACCGCAGAAACCAGGTACTCAAACCCACCAAGGATCCATCGACGGGCCGGCCCCAATTCCGGTCTGTGGACCGTAGGCTCAGGTGTAGATCGGCACGGCCATGGAGGTGCTGTGAGATGACTCCTCGTTAGGTTTTTATTATTATTAATTATTATTATTATTAAACATTTCCGCAGCCCCGTGGCTTTGCACGGTGCTTGTACAGAGGTCTAAAAAAAAAAGGTTCCTTCCCCGGTAAGCTTACAATCTAAGTTAGACAAACCTAGGGCACGCTGAGGGGATGGGGACGGGAACCGTCAATAAATATAAAGGTCAGTTGTGTTATAGTGTCACAAGATCTGAGAACTTCCAGGATACATGGCCAGCTGCCGTCAACCAGCCTTGCACTGTTGACTCCGAGACAGCGATGGCCGAATGACACCTCTTGGTGATCTGGCCCATTGACCCCACTGGAGTCATGGCCAATTGAGGCCAGACCCCCAGCTGTTGTCACTCGCCTGTAGCTCCATTGGGCTCAAAGGGGCCAGACCCCCAGCTAGTGTCACTGACCCCAATGGAGCTGCAGCCGAGTCACCCCAGCTGGGATCTGGCCCCATTGACCCCAATGGAGCTGCAGCCAAGTGACCCCAGCTGGGGATCTGCCCCACTGACCCCAATGGAGCTGCAGCCGAGTCACCCCAGCTGGGATCTGGCCCCATTGACCCCAATGGAGCTGCAGCCGAGTGACCCCAGCTAGGGATCTGGCCCATTGACCCCAATGGAGCTGCAGCTGAGTGACCCCAGCTGGGATCTGCCCCATTGACCCCAATGGAGCTGCAGCCGAGTGACCCCAGCTGGGGGTCTGGCCCCATTGACTCTCTAAGTAGAAGATATTTGTTTTCATCCATTTCCCCGTTGCTGTGTGGAGTCCGCGGCGTCTCAGTGTTCCAGGGACAGGATCTGCCCGGGCGCCCAGCAGCCCCGTCTCCCCGATGAAACGTCTGTTCCTGGTCCGTCCTGGCGGCTGGTTCTGAAATGGGCGAATGCTGCGGACGCTGCCCCCAGTGAGGGGGCATCAGTCTATCCTGCCTCATGCGCCCCCCATGTCCCGAGGCTGTCAATCCACCGCCCTCCCCTCTGAACCAAGCAGAGGCCCAGAGACGGGGAGATCTGAAGGAATGGGGTGCCCCATGTGTTGGGCACTAGGAAATGGGCTGTGGTGTGTGGGGGTTCCTGGTGAGCTGGGATTAGGGGGGTTCCTGGGTATGAACCCCCTGGGCACCATCATTAAATGCTACAAAGGTTTGGTGAGTACCAAAATCTGTCCCCCATCACCCAAATTTAATCCCCTTGAGCCTCAACCCCCCGCCCCACCGAACAATATTTCACACCTAGTAAACAGACCATCAATCCACTCGCTCCCTAGTGACCAGTAGCCCCTAGTAACCGAACCACCAATCAACTCCTTAGCAACAATCGCCCTGGTAATCAAACCACCAATTCCCTCTCTCTCTCAAGAGTGACCCATCATCCTTACTAACCAAATCAGCAATTCTCTCTCTAGCAACTAACCACCATGGGAACCAACCCACCAATCGCTGTTAGTGGTCAGTCAGCATGGTTACTGCACTACCGACCCCCACCCTAGTGACTAATCACTACAGTAACCAACATACCAATCCCCTCCCTATAATCGCTATGGTACCAACCCACCAATCCGCTCCCTAGCGATCAACCACCGCGGTGACCAACCCACCAATCTGCTCCCTAGTTACTAACCACCCCATGGCAACCAACCCACCAATCCCCTCCCAAGCGATCAACCACCGCGGTGACCAACCCACCAATCTGCTCCCTAGTTACCAACCACCCCGTGGCAACCAACCCACCAATCCCCTCCGTAGTGACCAATCACCAGGGTAACCAACCCATTGATCCCCTCCGTAGTCACCATGGTAACCAACCCCGCCACAGCGACCGACCACTCCCTAAGCCCCCCACCTCTCCCCACCCACCCCGTCCCCTTCACTCCACCCCCCACTGCCACCCCACTATCCGGAGGTGGCGGGCATTGGGCCGAGGGGCTGGCGGGGGCACGGGCAGGGCAGGCTGGCCCTCCGCCGGCGTCCCGTCGCCCGCGTGGACGCGCTGGTGGCGGATGAGGGTGGAGCTGCGTCCGAAGCTTTTGCCGCAGAGGGGGCAGCGGTAGGGGCGGGCGCCGGTGTGGGCCCGCTGGTGGACGGCCAGGTAGGAGCTGTCCCCGTAGCTCTTGCCGCAGACGTTGCACTTGAAGGGCTTCTCGCCGGAGTGGATGATCTGGTGGCGGATGAGGTGGGAGCTCTCGCTGAAGCTCTTCTGGCACTGGGTGCAGCGGTAGAGCTTCTCGCCCGTGTGGGTGCGCTGGTGGCGGCCCAGGTCCGAGCGCTGCGAGAAGCTCTTCCCGCACACCCCGCAGGCGAAGGGGCGCTCGCCGGTGTGCACCCGCTGGTGCCGGATGAGGTGGGAGCTGAGCGTGAAGCGTTTCCCGCAGTCGGGGCAGTCGAAGAAGCGAGGTTCGGCCCGGGGGGCGGTGCTGACCCGTCGCCGCCGGGCGTACGGGCCCCAGCGGCCCCCCCGCTGCCGGGGCCGGCACAAGCTCTCGCAGGCTTCGGCCCAGTCGGGGCGGTTGGGGGCATCCAGCCCCGGCGGCTCCTCCTGCTGCCGGGGAGGCTCTGCCGCCTCCTCTTCCTCGTTGTCGCTTGCCGTCCCGTCACCTGCTGGGAGAGAGACAGCAGAGTGCAGGCAGAGCTCACCCCGACGCCCGAGAGGGGCTTCCCACCAACACAGCGCATGGAGAGAGGGCAGAGACCGAGGGGCAACACTCCCCGCGACTACCTGTCTCTCCCCGGAAACACGGAACCATCCATCCCCCCACATAAACACTCACCCACCCATCCCTCCATCCCCCAAAACGTCCACCCACAAATCCCTCCCTCCATCCCCATGAACACCCACGCATCCCCCAAAACACCCACCCTCCCACTCGTCCTTCCCTCACTCCATTCATCCCTCCCCAAAAACACCCACCCACCCATCCTTCCCTCCCTCCAACCATCCATCCATCCCATAAACACCCATCCACCCATTCATCCCATAAACACCCACCCACCCATCCCTCCCTCCAACCATCCCATAAACACCCACAAACCCATTCATCCATTCAACCCATAAACACCCACCCACCCATCCCTCCATCCCCCAAAACATCCACCCACAAATCCGTCCCTCCATCCCCATAAACACCCCCCCCCCCATCCCCATAAACACCCATCCATCCCTCCCTCCCTCCATCGCCATAAACACCCATCCATCCCTCCCTTCCTCCACCCATCCATCCCATAAACACCAACAAACCCATTCATCCCATAAACACCCACCCATCCCTCCCTCCCTCCATCGCCAAAAACAACCATCCCTCCATCCATCCCCATAAACACCCACCCACCCATCCCTCCCTCTGTCCATCCCCATAAACACCCACCCACCCATCCCTCCATCCATCCCCATAAACAACCACCGATCCATCCCTCCCTCCATCCATTCCCAAAAAAACCCACCCACCCATCCCTCCATCCCCATAAACACTCACCCTCCCATCCCTCCCTCCATCCATCCCCATAAACACCCAGCCACCCGTCCATCCCTCCATCCCATAAACACCCAGCCACCCATCCATCCCTCCCCATAAACACCCACCCATCCCTCCCTCTATCCATCCCCAAAAACACCCACCCACCTCTCCCTCCATCCCCATAAACACCCACCAACCCATCCCTCCCTCCATCCATCCACATAAACACCCACCCATCCCTCCGTCCCTCCATTCATCCATTCCCAAACACACCCACCCATCCATCCCTCCGTCTTTCCGTCCCCAAAAACACCCACCCACCCATCCATCCCTCCCCATAAACATCCACTCATCCATCCATCCGTCCCCATAAACACCCACCCACCCATCCCTCCCTCCATCCATCCCAATAAACACCCTCCCATCCATCCCTCCCCATAAACACCCACCCACCCATCCTTCCCAATAAACACCCGTCCATCCATCCCATAAACACCCACCGACCCATCCCTCCCCATAAACACCCACCGACCCACCCAACCCTCCATCCATCCCCATAATCATCCTCCCACCCATCCATCCCTCCATCCATTCCCAAAAACATCCACCCACCCACCCATCCCTCCATCCATCCATCCATCCCGCAAAACAACAACCCTCCCATCCCTCCCTCCGTCCATCCATCCATCCCCATAAACACCCACCCACCCATCCATCCCTCCCTCCAACCACATAAACATCCACCCACCCACCCATGCAACCCTCCCTCCATCCCAATAAGCACCCACCCACTGATCCCTCCCTCCCTCCATCTCCATAAACACCCACCCAT